TGATCCACAACCTCATGCTCAGCATATCAGATTCTAATACAAGCATCGACCACTTCGGGTATGAGATGTATTATTGGGAACCAGAATATCCAGAAATGGAGTCATAGGCGGAGGGTGAACCAACTCCAGGGTAAGGCTAAAAGCAGCCAAATGTATTAAACATCATAAACCCGTCTTTTTAGGCAAGAACCAGACATGGCTAAAAAAATGTTTAATGGGACTGAATCTGTATTTAACGTGATTACAATTGAATAAAAACGTTAGAAATTGATCATTATATAACGTTTCCTTTCCACGGTTATTCAAACAGCGAATAAATTATATATAGAAAGTGACATTATCACTAACATTGATCTATCGCGAGTTTAAGCACTCTCAAAAGAACAAAACTATCGTTATAATCACTGAAGCTGAAGCTGTATACACTGTGAAATGAATCTCTTACTTACATTGTACGTACATCTGCGCTTTGTTGTTTATGATGAGAGAATTCGCAAGAGTCCGGAATTCAGTCAGCGAACGTGGCGCACTCAACAAAACTGATTAGTTTGAACGATGACTCATCTGAACGCTTCTGATTGGCCATTGCATTCTTAAGCTCAACAGAATTGTGTGTGATTGGTTAAAATGCGCAACACTGTAAAAACGCCTAAAATGAAATGCGGTACAACATGAGCAGATTTTAATTTAATGCCGCAATCGACACTGTCTATTCATATTCACTTTGTTAGCAACAGAGACGTAATAGATTTAATTTATTTGTGCAGGGGCATTTTTGTCCAATTTAGTGCCATTTTTGCCCCAAGTCCCCTAAGCCTTACACACGCTTCGCCTATGAATGGAGTACTGAATATCAAACTCCCAAATTGGTATGGTATTTATAGTAACTGTTTCAATTAAAATGTTTGGAATGGATAAAAAAAAAAACATAAAACACAACACAAAATATGGGGGAAAATCAATGCAGAAAGAGAGCAACAGAGTACATTATGCCCTTTATTTACAGACTTCTATTCGAGTGTAATATTTAAAAAAAAAAAAGTCAAACAGTAGGCAACATACGTTGATGCATATAATTATGCTGCATTGTTGCCACATGACTTAACGTCACATCCAGTTATAATTCTGAGAAATAAATATGGTTATTTATAGTTAAATTTTGAAGAAAAAAAAAACCTTAACATTTGTCAATCTGGTCAAATAATGAGTCATAATACAGTTATTAAAAATCACTGATAATTTTATTTCTAGTTTATTCATCACACTGGAAATTGGAGGCCAAGTCAAGCATATTGCATTACAGTATTACATGCAATATGCATGTGTCGCACACTGCACATGTAGTAGATCATCTGGGTATTCTATAAATGCAGAAAATGCTCATGCTGCATACAGTACTACATACTGCAGGAATTATATGAGTAGCATGTTGGTATGTCAGTCTGAAAATAGCCTTTATTTATAAGAGCGCTGAATCATTTTGTTGGTTTATGTTTAATCAAGCCTATACTTTCTTTGAGTGATTATTGTGCAGAGTCATTGAGTTGAGTGAAGTTATTTGAAATAATCACTGGCAGTATGGTGTAGGCGAAACAGCTCTGAAGCGATGTGGGTGTTAAGTCCCATGAGAGACTGAACATTAAAACGGATGTAAATGTTACCTGAAACCTAAATTGACTCCATTGAGAAATGGACTTGCTTGGAGCTCATGACAGTTTTTTATTAAAAACCTATTATTATTTTTTTAGACCCTTTCTGATTTATTATTTTGTTATATTTATTTATTTTTTCAGATAAATAATGTGTGAGAGAGTGCAATATGGATTTAATTATCACCTACAGTATAAGCCAAATTTAGTCTTGAATTTATAAGACAAATCATGTCTTGAATTATTTAGGACCTTTAGTGTTTTCTTTAATTGAATAATATCGAAAGAATAGCTGATGACTATGAATAATTAGTATTGTGAAAATTATTAATTAGTAGGGGTGTGACACTTGTGGCACGAGATCTCGTGAGATCGTGACGATATCCTCGCACTATTGGCATATGTCCAACGTGATCTCATGATAATTCGTATGTATTTTACGTAACGTGGTTCTATAAAACGTACATTTACTTACATTCTTACAGGCACTAAAACGTACAATACTGACGTATTTTCAGCTTCTAAAAGTACAAATACTTACATATTTTCAGCATTTAAACGTACAAAATTGACGTATTGACGACACCTAAAAATGAATCCTTATGAATATTGAAATCGCGGCATTAATTTTATTAATTTTTAGTTGTCATATGAATTAGCTTGTTTTCAATTGCATTATTAAATTGTTTACTCGTTTACTTGTAAAGTAAATCACACGTTGTGTGATTTCTGCTGCCAGCTGTTTCCAAGAATATGCCTACATAATATTAAACAAGACTTCACTTTAAACCTTCTAATAAATAACATTTCTGCAATCGTTTAACCTTTACATGTCCAACGTGATCTCATGATAATTCGTATGTATTTTACGTAACGTGGTTCTATAAAACGTACATTTACTTACATTCTTACAGGCACTAAAACGTACAATACTGACGTATTTTCAGCTTCTAAAAGTACAAATACTTACATATTTTCAGCATTTAAACGTACAAAATTGACGTATTGACGACACCTAAAAATGAATCCTTATGAATATTGAAATCGTGGCATTAATTTGATTAGTTTTTAGTTGTCATATGAATTAGCTTGTTTTCAATTGCATTATTAAATACGTACAAAAATGTACGTTTTGTGCTTGTAAATGTTACGTATTAATACCTATGTATAAACATGAGACCAGGCTGATATGTCAGACCTTTCAGACATATTTGCATTATACTGGCTCGTTCACCAGTAGTGGTATGTATATGTAAGATATTTTATGTTCACCTACGAATACAATATGCTTACCTGCTGTTAACAGGACACTGTTAACAGTGTTTAACTAATCACCTATCTGAACAATCGGGCTAGTGCTGCTTCCTCAAGAACGTTTATCATTCTCACATGTTTTAAGCCTTGTCAGGTTAAACATTCAAGTGTGTTAAGCCATTCAAGTGTGAGACAGCGCGCAAGAGATTTCAGTGCGGTACTCGTGCGCTGTGATAGACCGTTTGTGTGCGCACGCACGCAAAACGCCGCAGCTCAGACAGCTTATGCAAGAACCAAATTGAGTTCTCTTTCGCATCTTCTTGACCAAATGCACACAAAATTATGTCAGAATCACGGTCTTGATGAGTATCCTCGTAAAAACGTATTGTTTCCAACCCAGTCTTCACCCTAAACTAGCAGGTTCAGGACTTCCACCCGTAACGGTAGTAGCCTACTTCTCAGTCCCCTCGCCATATTGGCTCAAATGCATAAGCAATTGCACTTATTATGGGCTCAACAGTCCTTTTAAGTTCATCTTCCTCAATTTAAAAACAAGTTTGTGTTCAAAAAGTAAAGAAATGCTTATATTACTGCACTCGCCAACGGAGCGAACCAACCCTGTGACGTCCCATGCTGTGGTACTGCAAGATGGTGGCACCCTTGCTCCAAAAGCTATAACAAAACATCCTTTTTTCTTTAAAACGTTTACATTAATCGTGTTTATATATTTTTATTAATATAAATCTCGTGTCTCGTCTCGAGGGATAAGTGTCTTGTCACATCATGGCTGTTTTAGATATCACGTAAAATTTTGCCAACATATGAGTCAATGGGACTGCGGCTCTCTAGGACCGAACTTGCCTACCCCTGACCTAGGGGAACCCAAGCAAAATAGGGTTTATAACCATTAATTCTTCAGTTTATGCCTAATTCCCAAGCAGACATCAAAGACGTTTCAGTATTAAACAGTTATGTTAGCTGAGATGGTGCCACTGAGGGTTTGCTCAGTAATTTGCAAAACGTAGCTGACATTTTGCAGGCCTTTGTTAGTTGGCAAAGCCTTTTTATGTTTCCCCCTGGGTTGTCTATGCAGTGAAGGGAATTAAATGCACAACTGGCAACACTGCCATTTCTGCTGTTTGTATCCTTGTGGATTGGACATTAATGCCGCTTAAATCTCAAAACATGCAATGCTATGGATGACAACAAACAAGGAAGATTGTCCTTCACATCCTGAAAATTAGCATTTTTCATCCATGAGATGTGACAGCAAAAAGCTCTGCCAACCTCCTCTTTAATTTTTAGTTCTGATAAAGCCTTTAACATAGCTAGAATGCTGTCTCACTCAATTTGATTGTCATTGTGAACAATAAGAAGACCTGTCGCTGTTTTAGATTACTGAAGCAGGTTCTTTGTCTTTCCGCAAACATCTTCTTATCTCCTTCTAAAAACAGTCTGTTTGTTGTCCCAAACCAGCAGGCACAGTTAAAACATTAGCCTATAGGCTGTTGCGTACATGGTGCACTTAAGAACACACACATAGAATTTTAGTGCCAAATTCTGTGAATGTTTGGATGCAAGTGGGCATCTTTAGCCACTCTATGGTCTCCATGGCTCTGCTGGCTATCGTAGAATGCTAGCAGCTCAAAGGATGAGATTGTCAGAGGTTTTTTTCTTAAAAAAAAAAAAGCCCAGTACTGAGAAGGGAATACAGGCTTATGCTGCAGGGAGGTAATGAATTCAAATTAACTTTAACTAAAAACTGATGATTATAGTAATAAGAAAGTCCTGCAGTAGAAACACAATGTAAAACCTATAAGGAGTACCAAGGAAACCTCTTTAGGTGTGCAAGTATATGATAATAAATAACTACAACATGTAGGGAATAATGTATAGTCAGCCAGTCACCATCACAAAATAAGTTCTAACATGAACTTACATCACGCTGAATGAGTTTACAATATTTGGCAACCTTCATTCTATCGATACCCTACTCTTTACTCTCTGTGTTTACTCTGTACTGTATGTTTATGATTTTGTGAAATGTTAGCAACTCATGAACCTCCTTGTTCAAACTTGGTATTCTGATCGTTGCAGGTGGAGCATGAGTGTGTGGTCGGAGATCTGCTGCGATGCGTGCTATTGGGTGTAGGATGAACCTGCCGGCTGTGCTGAATGGCCTGCTGGTGTCAGTGGTGGCAGCCTTGCTTTGGAAATACATTCGGCTGATTGAACACACATCACAGTTGGAAGAGGAGCTACATCTTACACGACAATCACAGGAGTTCTCACAGGCCCATATCGACTACCACGGTGCCCTGTTAACACTCCAAGAGCATGGCACCAGAATGGTCTGCACTGGCAAGATGCACACCGATCGCATCTGCCGCTTTGACTACCTCTGCTACTGCACAGAGGCTGAGGAGTTTGTATTCTTCCACAGTAATGCCTCTGTGATGCTGCCCAACCTTGGCCCTCGGCGTTTCCAGCCTGCCTTGCTGGACCTCTCGTCTGTAGAAGACCACAACACTCAATACTTTAACTTTCTAGAGCTTCCGGCAGCGGCTCTGAAGTTCATGCCGAAACCTGTGTTTGTGCCAGATGTCACTCTAATTCTGAACCGGTTTAACCCAGACAACCTCATGCACATTTTCCATGATGATCTTTTGCCCATCTACTACACCATGCAGCAGTATTCAGACTTGGATGATGAAGCCAGGCTCATCTTCATGGAGGGTTGGAGTGAAGGGGCTCACTTCGATCTCTACCGCTTGCTCAGCAGTAAGCAACCACTTCTCAAGGAGCAGTTGAAGACCTTTGGCAAACTCATGTGCTTCACCAAGTCCTACGTGGGACTGTCAAAGATGACAACATGGTACCAATATGGCTTTGTGCAACCGCAAGGACCCAAAGCCAACATTTTGATTTCAGGTAACGAGATCCGTCAGTTTGCTTCATTTTTGATGGAACGGCTTAACATCACGCAAGAGGAGGGCGACGACTACATTGTAGTTTTTAAGCGTACCACTAACAGGCTCATTCTCAACGAGGCGGAACTTCTTCTGGCTTTAGCCCAAGAGTTTCAGATGAGGACTGTCACTGTGTCTTTGGAGGAGCATTCGTTTGATAGCATTATCCAAATTATTAGTGGTGCGACTATGTTGGTTAGCATGCACGGAGCCCAGATGATCACCTCCATGTTCTTGCCCCGTGGTGCTGCTGCGGTTGAACTCTTCCCTTATGCTATAAACCCAGAGCAGTACACTCCCTACAAAACCTTGGCCTCCTTACCTGGCATGGACCTTCAGTATGTTGCATGGAGAAATACAATTGAAGAGAACACCGTTACATATCCTGATCGCCCCTGGGATCAGGGTGGCATAGTCCACCTTGAGAAGGAGGAACAAGAACGTATCCTTGCCAGCAAGGAGGTGCCAAGACATCTTTGTTGTCGTAATCCAGAGTGGCTTTTTCGCATTTACCAGGACACTACTGTGGACATCGCCTCTTTTCTGGATGTGCTCAGAGAAACTCTAAAAAAGCCTAATCTGAAAAAAGTCAAGGTGGCTAGCACTGTACATCCTGGTCGAGTCAGAGAGCCCAAGTGTCAGACGTCAGTACAGGCCACCAATGAAGCAAAGCTTTCAGTGTCATGGCAGATCCCTTGGAATCTGAAGTACCTGAAGGTTAAAGAGGTGAAATATGAGGTGTGGATCCAGGAGCAGGGAGAAAACACATATATGCCTTACATTCTACCCCATCAGAACTACACCTTCTCGGAAAACATCAAACCCTTTACCACATATTTAGTATGGGTGCGTTGTATCTTTAACAAGAACCTCTTGGGCCCATTTGCAGATGTTCTTACTTGTAAAACTTGATTCAGTAGTCAGGTTAGACGTAACACTGTCACTGTCAGTTAGCAAATAATTCATTTGAAGATTAATTCTCAGGAGCTATCCTGAAAATTAAACGGTGTGACATGGGTGAATTGTTTTCGGACTCGATTGTCACTTTTGTAAGATTGCTCTTCATGGTCCTTATGGAGTAGGGCTGGGAAAATAAATTGATGCATCGCGAATCAAGAAATTATTCCGCATCGATTCTGAGATTTTCCGAATGCATCGCGATTCTTTCTCGAGTCGATTCTGAGCTTAGTTTTGAACAGCAGATGGCGCTGCATACTGCTCCGGGTGTGTGTTCACGGTGTGTGCGTGTTCACTGCTGTGTGTGTGCACTTTGGATGGGTTAAACGCAGAGCACTAATTCCAAGTATGGGTCACCATACTTGGCCACATGTCATGTCACTTTCACTTTCACTTTAGAAACAGCCGTACTCTGCTTGTTTCCAAATCCTTACATGCACTTGAACCTAAAATAATCATTCATAAAATTTGAAAAGGTTGAAGCGAATTACAAGGGTGTTCACAGTGAGCTGTTTACATTAATCTGGTGTCATAAAAGCATTCTGAACCTAGGTGAAATTACAGACTCAGCTGAACACACAAGCGTTCAGCGCTCTTCATCATGAGCATTTGAGTTTGCGGATAAAAACTAGAGTAGAGTGCCATCTGCTGTTAAAATCTAAGCTGAGCTGACTCTGATTCCAGAGAAAATCACGATGCATTCGGAAGATCTGCGGATCCATCTACGAATCGATTCTGCATCGATTTATTGTCACAGCCCTATTATGGAGTGTCACAAACTGACAGAGAATGAAAGTCCTGACTACAACGAAGGTTGGAAGCGAATGCAGTTTACAGAACTGCCAGTTCTTTTAGCTCATGCCACCATCCGAGCAAAGTTCTCAATGACTTTATCAGAAATGCATTGCATTATTTAAATGGGTATTTATAAGTCAAATACACTGGTTTTGTCTGACACCTGCTTTTGGTAACAAACAAATTGCACAAATTTCTGTGGCTTAAGCATCATGATATTAATTTTATGTGACTTTGTGAGTGTGCCCTCTCTAGCCCAAGTTTTTGCATTGTATTTTTCATTTATTTTAGTTATGATGAAGCATTTTTTTTGTGTGTGTGTGGGGGGGGTCAGAAAATCGAAAGTGAACTTTAAGATAAACATTATACTATTTTAAAAATTGGCTGCTATTGCGTGAGTTAACTGTAGATTTGCTGCAGTGTTGATGTTCTCTCCTTTTTTATTATTATTTTTACTAGCCTAGCCTCAAAACCACTGATTATTTTCTAGCTGTTCAATGGGAAATGTTTGAATTTGTTTGCCAGTGAGATCTATCAGATCTCATCACAGACAGAAGACTTAGATGTCCAAGTCAGTAGTATCTTTGATGAATGGGGTGAAATAGTTTATGATAGTATCCTGAAGTTTGAAAGTCTTTTTTTGTTGGTGGCATGTCAGTAATTACTTCTGTGTTAAGTTGGAACCACTGTGTTAAGCAAGCTAGTGTATTTGGTGATAGCTGCATAGTGGGCTAGTAGCACAAAGAAAATCGGTTCAAACATGGGAAAGGCCAATTCATGAACTGTAGAGTGTATGTAAGTAACTGGCTAAAAGCATTTGATAAATGTCCAGTAGAGGAGTAACAGTACTTTGAACCTTTTATGACTGCATAAGCCTCACAGAATGCAATATTAAATATTTGAAGATTACTATTTATATGATGTGTAAAGAAACCACTGTTTAGATGTTATTCCTATCCTGTCCTTCAACAAATTAACTTAAAACAGTGTGTATATCTGCTTTACAGGAGGACAATGCCAGTTTCTGTTTTTTTAGATGCTTTTGTGCAGACTCTTAACATGTCTCATCTGATTTTCTGCAAAGACAAGGTGTGCTTTGCTGGCTTATGGATTATTGAGAAGATGGAAACGTACTTTATCTCTGCCAATTATTTATTGAAGACAACTCTGGAACACTATACATACTGTACCCCTGATTTGTTAAAAGTTGCACTGTTTAAATTTTTTTTCTACTGCTGTGATCAATGAATGGAACATAAGAAAGTCAACAATCAACCACAAGCTTTGTTTAAATGTTTTGTGCTGAATGGCCTGTCAAGTCATCTGTATTTTTTTCCTTCGGTGAGGTTTTATTCTGTCCTTCACTATGAGGACATTCTGAATTACATGGAAATGGATATAAATGATGCTAAAAACAACCAAGAACATTTCTAATTGAAATTTGGAAACGGCAAACCATGCAGCCATACAGTTTATTTGCATAACCCTGTGTTTCGATGGTAATTTTATTCAAGTATGAGGATAATAAATGAATTCTGTTTGTAATACAAAATAGCAGAAATGTCCTTTGCATATAATCAGAGAGAAAACCTAGCATGGAAATCTTTAACTATCTTGCCTCCACTCTGAGTTGAGAAACAGATGTTCGTGGTTTCTCATTCTCTCATTTTATTAATTAGATGATAGTTTTCAACACAGAAACAGATATATATAGATATAGATAGAATTGCAGGCTTGGGTCCTGCAAACCGGTCCGTTCCCTGTGCCAGTTCATGAGATTTACCATTATGTGCCACTGGAATGTCATACATCATTTGTGTCATTTTATTAAATGTACAATTTCTCAGATGTTTTTGCGATGTCTTGTTTTTATTTAAAAGTCTCTATCATTTATCAGTATTATTATTTCATGTTGATGAATTAATGAATTCATGTTTATTTGTCATTCAACATCTTGATTTTTAGAAATGCTTTCTAAACCTTGAAGAAGTGCTGAATTATTAGTCTAAAATCCACAACAGAAGGACTGGTAAATAACATTACTCCAGCAGTCATGAATTTACATTACATTTACATTTAGTCATTTAGCAAACACTTTTATCCAAAGTGACTTACAAATGAGGACAATAGAAGCAATCAAAACCAAATTGGAAAATTATGGACTTTCCTTTCATTTTTGTGTCATAATTTGCAGTCTTGGTGTCTTCAGACTTTAAACTTAAAGATTAAATAGTTTCAACTGGCCATTTTAGCGCCAAACAACATTTGCTCAAATTAACATACTGCTCTCAATTATAGATAAAAGATATGTTTGATGCTATTTTGGTGAAAGCATATATAATGCTACTGTTGTCTATTGGAGGACAATTGAATAATCTTCTTCTCTTTGTAGGAACCCATTTTCTCCTCTGCTTGCTATAATTTTTTGTCATTTAATTTTTTTAGATCAGAATCACTGTGACCCTACGGAGACAAATTTGTTTTCAGATGCTGCATCTGCCTACAGAATGGAACATGAAAGAATCGCGAATCTGATAATATGCTGAGTGTCTTCATGTAGAGCAGTGTCAGTTCAAGGTGTTATGTATAGCCGGAGGGGATACTGTTGAACTGCGACAAACTGATGAAAAAGATGGAGTGTGTGTGGTGTGTTCCGCGTGTTGAGACCGATTCAAACCAGATTTCAGGCATGAAGTACAAATTACATCAGCTTGCTTTGAACTCATTAACCCAAACACACAATGGCATGATGTTTTTATCCTCCTATTCTTAAAGGAATCATTAGAAAGGTGTATATAGTTTTCAATGAGGTTAAAAGAACTATACACACAGGTATTTGGAACAGATTGGGATTGTCTGGATGTGGCCATTACATTTACGTTTACATTTAGTCATTTAGCAAACGCTTTTATCCAAAGTGTCTTACAAATGAGGACTATAGAAGCAATCAAAAACCAACAAAAGGGCAATAATATGTAAGTGTGACAAGTCTCGGTTAGCCTAACGCAGTACACGTTGCAAGTTTTTTTTTTTTTTTTTTTTTTTATAAAAAAAATG